GACACACACATGTCGTTTCATTGAAGATTCTAAACACCACAATCACTTTTTCATTAGGGCCCACTTTCAGATGGGATCGTCGTCGTCGACACTCGAGATGTATCTCCAGAGGGGCAATTGTTATGATGGACCGTCGAGGACAATCCATTTCTCAGAGAGCTTTTCCTTTTCTTTTTCTTTTGCGCTGCCTCTCGTCGGATCTCTTGCGACAACTCGTTGACTATAAATATATAAAAGCTAAAACCGTTCGTAATTCTTTTGAGGAGAAATATTAGTCACGAAACTCTTTTACGTTAGATTGATTTATTGGTTTTGATAAATTTTGATGTATTCTTTATTCTGTATATTAATAACCTAATTTCTACGTTTAATTTAATGGTTACCATGATCTTTAGATGATATTTCGCAACCTTTAATTTCAATGCTTGATCGCATACAAACAAATTATAAATTACTTTGATAGCACTGCGGTAGGGCATCAAGATTAATAATAAAAGATGTTCGCAGATACCCTAGAAAACTACTCACAAATTTGATTTGTAGGCACGGTTGATTACTTCGGATAATTGGATAATCTAGTAACTCATAAACGGCAACATTCCAAATAAAGTAGGAAACGAGAGAGGCTTTAAAACTCGTACACTTAGACGACCGTAATGCCCAAGAGTGTTAATTTAATAATTGCTACAAATGCTGGAAATGTTAATTACGTCGTGGTGTAAAATACCAAAACGCTTAGTTGATTCGCTTCCTATCAATCCATTTAATTTGCAATTTCGTATAACGACTTGGTTTGATTTTAACTTACCCATGTAATAATGGGCGTTAGATAATCGATCCTATATATTCTAAAGAAAACGAAACTCCTACGACAGATGTACACCAACGTATGACAGTATTGAGCCAATGAGGAAGATGTGTGTGTGTGATGATATAATTTCGATGTTCGTACACCAGCATTTTCACTTTTGTTCTACTTAATCTTCGATTTTTTGCTGCCTCAATTAAGCTCGTGTTATTAAAGACAGATGAATAGGATGGGCGTTAAGCAACGATTAATTAAATAGTTTGTTGTTTAAATTTGTTGTTAATATTATATCATTATGTTTTCAAAATTTCAATTATTAATTTGATTTGATAAATCACTGTTTATTTTGCAAAAACAATTAGTGTTTAAGTCACGAATGTTTTTAATTTAAAATTGAAAAAGCGACGATCTGAAAGGCTTATATAAATCGGCAACTTTTTATGTTTAAATAATTATAGAGCGTTTATGGAATAAATTGTGCTTTATGATAGCATTAAAATTTACTACATTGTTACAAAATGATATGTTAATACAATATTTACGTTACATAATCACTGATTGTAGTCAAAGTATATTATCAAGACCTCATTTAATTTTTTTGTTTATTGATAAGTGCATTATTACATCATTTTTTCTTGTATCCCATTACAAAGTAATATTAAAAATTTAGTAACTATTAGAGATATTAAATCGAGTTTAGCATTGCTATTTTATAACCATTTTATCTCCAAAACAAAAGCTAGAATACAATTATGTATATTTCCAACTAGGAAGTTCTCAAAATGTAGAAATTTACTCAATAATTGTTCAAACGAGTTCTCCAGTGTACCACGTCATATATATTGTGAGGTTGTGCTTTTTCATAAGCTTATACCAAATAAACATTTTCTGAAGTGTCAGTGCTCCTATCAGGGTACATTGGAAGGTATAATAAGTTTTCGTTGATAGTCAGACTTCTTTTTCCAACTATATAGCAATTGCTCATGAGTTTACTATTTGAGAATAAGAGTGTAGATGATTGTAGAATAAGTTCTTTTGAATGGAAAAATACAAATAAAGAAATTTAAGTCATTAGAACGTTAAACACAGAAGAAGAAGAAAGATCCACTGCAATGACGAAAGAAGAAACGACGGTGTTAGGCCAGAAAAGGAGTCTAAACAGAGAATATGTATAAAGACAGATATTTGCAAGAAAAGCAGAAAAAGCTGAAAACATTCGCTAAGATGTCGCAAGGATGTTAAAAAACAGCCAAACTACCAAAATCTAACTTAATAGTTGGTGAAAGGAAAGCTTTATGAAGTATACTAAAGAGAACTGACATAGTTGTCCTACACGCAGACAAAGATAATGCCACCGTGGCATTATGTGCAGTGGCCAAAAATTGTAACACAGCAAACAGAACCTTGAGGATTTCTTAAGCCATTACCAAACTCACAGCATCCAATGATAAAGTTCACCATGCCGGAAGAAAGAACAACCAGCTACAACAGAAGATGTCTGCAATTCGCATGTTTTTTCAAAAAACCAGGAGACTGCGACGGAGATAGTTTGGGGAGCGAGGAACGATTTTAATAAACTACAAACTATTACCACAAGAACCGATACCATAATATACATTTCGATGATTTTTGTCAGGAATAACCACTACATCATAAACGCCATAGTATTTCATTGTCATAAGAATAACATTAATAGAGTTTAGTTTTATTTTCAATATGATGAATATTTTGAATAATTGTTTTCTTGTCTCTCAAATTATTTCCCAAAGTGATTCCTAATTAATCCAATTAATTTTATTAATGGCACATTAATTTTTAACGAGGACGTTATTGTTGACATTTAAAATTGGTGCGATTAACTTTGACGAAATCAGTATCGAAATGTGTTGACTTTTTATTGTCCAATTAATTTACCGCAATGCACGATATAATCAAGTTTTGTTTTGATTTCTCAGTAATTACCAAATATCGTTAGAGTTACACCTTAATTTGTAATGCTCATTACATAAGGGAGTGTAATAGCTTCTCATATTTGGAGATTACTGACAAAATTCAACAGTTCTTGATTTTTGTAAAGCCTTTGCTGTTTAATTTTAATTTTTAGACGAAGCTATGCTGTTATTAGGTAATCAAGCAACCTGTATAATATATTTTGACATTGTGATTTTGATTTTAGAATATCTTATGCCATGTGGGAGACTTAGAACTTAATAGTATTAGCTTCGTATACCTATAGACTGTACTGTTAGAAAGACACATATTGAACAGAAAATTAGTCTGTAAATTGTTCTTAGGTTGGCATGCACCTTCAATTTTAATTACGTCATCTACAACACTACTTATCTTCTCCAAGCGATTTGTTGTCCTTAGTTTTCATTAGGGCTAAAATTATTACATCAATTGTGATATCTGGCAGTGTTTCAGATCCTTGGTTGGCAATATTCTTTCTGCGAGTAAGTATTTCTGGCTCCTCTTCTCCTATAATGTTTTCTTCATTTTGTCTTGTGAACAGCAGTTTGTAGAGGACTTCAAGTACCTTGAGGATTTCATCTTTTCTTGTTGTTAACTGTCCATTCTTTCTACCGTTTTCTAATTTCCTTCATACATTTATTCTCGCATTTGTCAAAGTTTTTCATTTTTACGAGATGATTCTCAATGATTAATATTATGTCAACTTGAAACTGGGAATCAAATTGTGATGCCTCAGCCTTGGCTTTGTCAAGTAGTGTAGAAGATCTTTTGACTAATTACTACTTAAGTTCCCTGTGGGTTGATACTGTGTGTTTTGGCGATTTAGAATTGTTTTCTTGTGCTATTATGGTGGTACCAAGAAGTATAATCTCTTAGTTATAGATACGAGACACTGCCAAACGCTAAAGTGTTGTTCCTTGATTTTGATCAATGGATCAGAAGACGCTTGTTACTGAATGCGAATCAACATCAGAGTTATGTTTTCATGAATTAATAATAAATTTTAAAGTCAATTTATATTCAAACCCATAAATACATCAATTATCTATAAAATTTAAGACAGTGCTTATCAAACCAAAAAGTAAATTCAGATTTAAACGATGCCATCAGCGTTGTCTAAAGGTGTTTGTACTTCATGTCTGGATGTGGCTCTATTAATAGTCAATACGGAGCCTCTTTGAAATGTAGCTTTATTAGTAAATAAAAAAAACTTTAAACAATTTAAAAATCACATAGTAAATCTTTATAATCGTAAAATATTCCTTCTAGTTCTTCTCGAAGGATGTCATTAAAAAAAATTTACATACAATTTCATCACGTTTGATTTACAGAAAATCGCCATATCCTTAATGATTTACATAAAGCGCAGGGTAACAAACAATAAGTCGTTTCGCCATATCAACTCTCTAAATATTTCAAGTATTGAAGGCATTATATCGCGTGCAAAGATCTTTCTAAGGAACATTACGTTCTCAATGCGTCGGGATGCGTCTTACACATAAATTACACCTTTTGCTTTTGCGCGAAAGTAACACCAGCAATTATCTACAATCAATTAGAACGTATTATAATATCGTTGACATTGTTTGTTCTTTGCGATCAAGTCGGTTGCACAAGGTGGTATAAGATTTTTTTATGTAGCAGGCGTATCATGAAAGCTCGCCTCTGCAAAGGAAATGGTAATTGATGTTTAATGATCGTCGTAATAATGAAGAATATAAGACAGCGATGTCGGCGTTATATTCGTGTGCTTCGCCTACACAAATAAAAATTAATTTTGAAGAATTTTTTTAGGATTAGGAGAAGAAAATTAAATGGAAATAAGAACAGTGTTGACCAGACCTTGCTCCGGATCGATTGCTCTTGTAAATGAGGGATTTTTGCAAAAGTGACTGTCGCAGTTTCCCAATTGGAAGACTTCGATCCTCTTCTTACGCCCGGTGGCAACGTAATGCGCGATGCCCATATACCGTAAGTTGCTGCCCATCTCCAAGAAGAAGATACACTTTTAAAAGCACCTAAATAAATAAAGCGATTGCCCGTACGTTCTAAGAATCAACTTTCGAGCGTTTGCCGACGTTATGCGAAGGTTATTTCAGAGGATTCCTCGCGTACAAAAGTTTATACCCTCCCTAGTCACGGGAGCCACAACAGAAAAAAATTTGAAAAATAACAGTTTACGGGGCTGTACTAAATACATGAAACAGAATCACGATTCAATACGTATATAAACGATCGACCCCCGTTGGAGATTCATTCAGCAATCATCCCAGCTCCGGCTTGGAACCAACTAGTCATAGTTATATAAGTTTAGTGTAGTTTTCAGATTACCAACTAGTTAATCATCATGTTGAAGGTAAGTAAATAAATAATTTTTTTTAATCTTACAATGTTTGTTTAAATTATTATTAATTTTCTAATAAAACCATTCAGTTTTCGTAAATTATTGCAAATTAATAAATTTCTTACTCATTTAGTCTTTTTAATAATAAAAGAATTATTTTTAATATCATACTATCAAATTGAAACAAATACTTAAATTATTATTTAATCTGGTAAAAATAAAACTTAATATTTTAGTGTTTGTTATTGGCGGCATTATTCGCCGTAACCATCGTGCACAGTGAACCTCCAGTTTACCTTCCACCAAATGGTAAGTAATCGTCGATGGTCTCCCCAAAAAGGAAAATGTTAACTAATTTCACCAGCAATCTCTTCACACAACCACTTTGCTAACACATCTATGTTTTTCTCTTCCGTTTTCCTTTCCGCCTAATGTCCAATCTACAGACGGCCCAAGCACCTCATACGGCCCGCCTGGGTTTCAACCGGGAACGCCTTTAGGACCCGGTGGTGGTAATAACGGCTTTGGTTCAAATGGTAGACCAGGTGCAACTTACGGAGCACCCAGCAATGGTAACGGTAACGGACATAATGGAAATGGATATAGTAACGGAAGACCATCGTCAATGTATGGAGCACCGCAAAATGGAAATGGTAAACCAAGTTCTACTTATGGTGCACCAAATGGAAAACCTAGTTCGACTTATGGAGCTCCCGGCAACGGGAACGGAAATGGACATAGGAATGGTAATGGTCATTCAAACGGAAATGGGCACTCAAATGGAAATGGACACTCAAACGGTAATGGAAACGGAAATGGGAGACCAAGTTCAACATATGGCGCACCTGGTCAAAACGGTTATAGTAATGGAAAACCAAGTTCTACTTATGGCGCACCTGGTCAGAACGGTAACGGTTTCGGTAGTCCAAGCTCTAACTATGGCCCCCCAAGTTCAACTTATGGGAGTCCTAATCTAGGAGGTTACCGCACTCCAGACAGTGACCAAACCCCTGGATCTAGCTATCTTCCACCTGGTAATAGATATTCTATTCATGTTCTTCCAAACTAAAGCTTAATTTTTGGTAACAATTTCTCAGCTTACCAAATACCAACATATTCGAACTATTTTACTTTTGATCCCGTTTCGAAAGTATTAGATTAACTAATTTTATTATTTAGGTAACGGAAATGGGAACGGTAATGGACATGGAAATGGTAACGGAAACGGTCATGGTAATGGAAATGGTAACGGATACGGTAACGGAAACGGCAATGGAAATGGTAACGGCAATGGCAGAACATACTTAGCACCAAATGGTAACGGAAACGGCAATGGAAATGGTCATGGCAACGGTAATGGTCATGGCAACGGTAATGGTCATGGCAACGGTAATGGTAATGGCAACGTAAACGGAAACGGCAATGGCAACGGTTATCCAAGTACAACATATGGAGCACCAAATGGTAACGGAAATGGTTATCCACGTCCTGTTTACGGAGCACCAAATGGTAATGGTAACGGAAATGGCAACGGTAATGGCAATGGTCACGGAAATGGCAACGGAAATGGTAACGGAAATGGTAACGGACACGGTAATGGAAATGGTAACGGACACGGTAATGGAAATGGTAACGGACACGGTAATGGTAACGGAAACGGACACGGAAATGGAAACGGAAATGGTTATCCTCGTCCAACTTATGGTGCCCCAAATGGAAACGGTAATGGAAATGGTCACGGAAACGGTAATGGAAATGGTCACGGAAACGGTAATGGAAATGGTTACAGAAACGGTAATGGTCACAGTAATGGAAATGGCAACGGAAACGGTAACGGAAATGGTTATCCAAGTAACACCTATGGCCCACCCAACGGAAACGGTAATGGAGTTGCACCAGTATACGGTGTCCCCAATGGAAATGGAAACGGCGATGAAGATAATGGAGTAAGCATTAATTCGTTATTATAAATAAATTAACTAATTAATAAAACAAACTCTAAATAATCTTTAATATTTTAACATTAGGTAGCAAGTTATTCTTTTGAATACCAAGTAGAAGATGCCGATGCTGGATTAGATTTTGGACACAAAGAGGAAAGAGAAGGTGATGTTGCCACTGGGGAATACAACGTACTTCTTCCTGATGGTAGAAAACAAATTGTTACATACGTCGCTGATACTGAAGGATATAAACCTGAAGTCAACTATGAAGGTAGTAATTTAAATTGTTTTTCGCAATCTTCTTTACACTTTTAACATAATTTCCTCTTTTTAACTGCTATAATTTTTTTTTATACAGAGGGTGCAGGGGGATACCCAGATGGAAATGGCAATGGTTACCCATCCGGCGGTCCCTATTAATTGCATACCGTTTAGATTGTTTAGCAGTACAATTTTATCTATACTCGCATCGCAGTACCCGTGTTAGAAACCGTTTCTCATCAAAGCTCTTTCGTGGCCATTTACTTATTGTTCACGACATGTTCGAGACTATGTACTAAAATTACTGCCACTCTATAATCGATTTCATATCTCATTCACTTATTTACATTATTACCAAATCCACCAAATGTGTAGTTCACGCTCAAATTTGTATGTTGTATATACAAACCGTTACATCATTACATACCATTATTATAGTGAAACGAGTACAGTAGCAGTAGTTTTATATATCATAAAAGACGCTTCATTAAGTATTAATTAGATTAGTTGGTATGATTTTTTGTTGACGACTATTGGCACAGTAAATACGGTTACGATTCATCCGGTAAAATATGTAATTGGTTAGGAATAGTTCTTATTTATTCTATTACGTATTTTATATTTATTATTAATTCTTTGTTTTCAATATAAAAATAAGTCTATATATTTATATATTTTATAGCCATATGCATGTTTTATATGTGTATATTTATGTGAATATAATTGTACATATAATATTCTATTTTTCTTTTAAACAAACCTTTCAAAACATTTAAATTTGTATTAAATAGCATACATAAACTAAAACAAACATAACAAAGAAAACTAGTAACTTCCGAGTTTACTTGTTCAGCTATTAAAATAGTGTTTCCACTAAATATTTTCTTCAGAAATAAGTTAAAGAAATGTAAAACAAATTGAAAGTTACCAACCCTTCGTGGTGTTTTGTTAATCTTTCAACCAGTTTAGTAAGATATTCTATGTTCAGCCTCATTCAACTTTCTATCAACTTTCTGGTCATCCTCTTTAATCAGTAGCTGTTTCTAGCTAATACTCTAATCTTGTTCACCTTTATTTTGCGATGACGTTCTGCATGGTAGTTCTCTGTGATTGCTGATTTTTGCTTTTTCCCTATTTGATATCCTTGTAATATTTTATACATAACAGTTGGCTGGTAAAATGCTGGTAAACAATAGTAGATTGAGAGCTGACAGGTTTTCTAGCTACTGTATCCATTACTTCGATGAGTAACCATTGAATTAGTCTATCTGGATTCCTTGTGGTCCTTCATTGATGGTCCTTAATTTTCTTCCATTTATATTAAATCCAAGTTTTTTATTATTGTATGCAATGTTTCTTCGAAATTTCATGTTTCGTATTTACTTTTTCTGGTATCTCTTCTTCGTTGATTCTTCATCTTCCTTGCTACCCTATTGAAAAATTACTGTATATACACTTGCTATTTTCATTAAGATGTCTTGTCAATTTATTTCCTCATTGGCTTCGATGAAAGCATGTTACTAGTATCCAATGTTAGTAACCGTAACGACGTTTCATCAAACATTAGACCAATATCTCCTTTATTAGACCAATTTTAACAATATCTTTGAGAATACTGAGTTGAGGACTAGTTGCTATGTACACTAATTACATATTAAGGTTACTTATTCAATGATTAAGCTGCTACCTAAAGCATTTCTTTAACTGCAGTCTTAGCCGAACCTCGTTATCGTTACAAAGATCTCCAACATCTTTAATATACAGGGTTTCCCAAATCTCCCGGGACGGAGCTATAAGTTTTAAACGAGTGAAGAACAAAATTTGAAAATTTGGGAATCACTAAAGAGTCATAAAAGCTATATTCTTAGATAGTTTAGAACTTCCATGCAATGTGGAGTTTTTTTAGGGGATGACCACCCCTAGATTTTTAAATAGGTAATAAAGAAAGAAACACGACTCCATAAACCAAAATCCGATATCTTAATTCTTTCAAGAATTATGAAGGATTGACTACCAAATGGGAAAATAAAATGTNTAAATAGGTAATAAAGAAAGAAACACGACTCCATAAACCAAAACCCGATATCTTAATTCTTTCAAGAATTATGAAGGGTTGACTACCAAATGGGAAAATAAAATATTTTCATGGTTTTTTGCACTTTTATTGCGATTTTTATAACAAATGTTCAAATTGTCAACCTTTTTCGGTCTCGTTATAACCCAAACGCTCATAGATGGAATTTTGAACCATCAGGAGTATATCCCAAGTGATATTGGTGGTTCTTCAAGTATGCGATTTTCCAAATCATTGATTGATTCTGGTTTTGTTGCATACACTCTATTTTTCAGAAATTCCCTAAAGAAAAAATCGAGTCACCTCTGCTGCCAATCCAACGGTTTGGAAACGTACGGCTTAAAAAGTCTCGGACTGCGCGACTAAAATGTGGAGGACTACCATCTTCTTGGAACCACTTATTGTCAATACCATTAGGGTCACGTACACTTGGAACCACTTGATTTTCTAACAGATGCAGATATCTGTCTCCGTCCAAATTTCCATTAATAAAAAATTGACCAATTACATTCTTTCCCATAATACCAGCCTATACATTAATTCTCTGAGTATGACCTTCTCTTATTAAACGTGCATTTTCGTCACTCGAATAACGATAATTGTGCCTATTAACCTTACCATTCAAGTAGAAAGTAGCCTCATCAGAGAAAACAATGTTCAAAAGAAAATGTCTGTCAACATCACATTTTTCACGTACTATTCCACAGAATTCTAACCTTCTTTCGAAGTCACCTTCGTTCAATTGCCATTTTCCCATTTGGTAGTCATCCCCTCATAATTCTTGAAAGAATTAAGATATCGGGTTTTAGATTATGGGGTTGCGTGTCTTTTTCCATTACCTTTAAAATAAGGTAAAACTCGATAGGGGTTGCCATTTAAAAATGTAGGGGTGGTCATCCCCTAAAAAACTCTACATTGAATGGAAGTTCTAAACTATCTAAAAATGTAGTTTTTATGATTCTTTAGTGATCCCCAAATTTTCAAATTTTTTTCTTCACTCGTTCAAATCTGATAGCTCCGTCTAGGGAGTTTTGGGAAACCCTGTATATTATAAAGGTTGGACGTTTCGGATGCCATGTTGCAACCTTCTTCAGAAACTGGTTCGAAGTTCGAACAAGAAGGTTGCAACATGGCATCCGAAACGTCAAACCTTTTCTTAAAAGACGCACGGCAAAACCCGAAAGTTTCTAGTGTTAGTTCAAACTTCGAACCAGTTTCTGAAGAAGGTTGCAACATGGCATCCGAAATGTCAAACCTTTTCTTAAAAGACGCACGGCAAAACCCGAAAGTTTCTAGTGTTGGTTCTAATTTTATTTCAATCTTTAATATAATCAGAATGGTTCCTTTATATTATTCATCCCTGGAGACAAATTTATGTTACCCTTTTATTTTTATCTTTGTAATAATTTTGTGGTGGATATTGATAAAATGGCGTTCAGTCTTCTATGAAGTACATAATTGTATTTGATCCAGATTTATATTAGAAGAGTTCTAAGATGAAATGAACCCATTTCAATTAGGTTTTGCACGGCACTCAAGATTAATAATGAAAAATCAAAAATAACCTCTTACTTGCTATTTATTATATGCTTCGATACTAGTTTCGAGGTATTACCTCATCTTCAGTCGAAAACTACAAGAATTTTTATAATTAGGAAAAATAAAATATGTTAAAACAAAAAACTTACAGTCAAAAATTAATGATGTTCACAATTGAGAAAAACATTACCAAAATATTATCAAAAAATTTTTAAACATGTTGAAAACGGAGAAAATGTAATGCGCGGTAAAAATAATTTGAAGGTCAAAAAGGTAAAACGTGGTTGAAAAAAAAAATTTTAAAATATGTTAGAAGTCCCGCAGCGATGCGTAGGAGGATCGAGAAGAGAAGAGACTAAAACGACTAACGGAAAAAGAACTGCAGGTCGGGAAAATTACAACATTAAACTCAAGATTAAGATTAAAATCTCAAGTATATTTTATAACTCAAAATGATTTAGTTGAGTAGTCAGTGGTTTCAAAACAAAAATTTTAAGTCTTAACCTGGTGTTTGACATCTCGATGATGCCAGAATGGAACGTCGCTCTTATACTACATTGAAGAATGATGTTGATCGGTGGGTAGACCTCTCAAACAAAAGATTGCTAACAAATGAGATCATTGATGCAAGATTATCTTATGACTCAGACATAATCTTACTAGCTGAAGAAGCAGTATATCGTACACTATAAAATTACTGGCTCAGACTTAATCGCTATTATGCTCAGATACAAATATTTATTTTGGAAATGCCGTAAATTATTTCCACTAGATATTATAGTCCGACGAAACTATTATTTGAAAGAGAAATATTTGCTTTATCAAACGAAAATGTTTCAAATATGTTGAGGGAAATAATTAAATTAGTTCTGATAAATTCTTAATGTATGGCAAAAGTGATATTTTAGTAATACCAGAACTCCGTATGGCACTGCTAGACAGAAAGTCTAATTTGCAATATTTGCAACTGATAAATTAGCTCTCACAAGAATCACTGCTTATCTATTCTACATACTTATAGAGTCTGTTTTAAATGTTTTACTGTTCGTTGTTTAGTGACTAGCTGTTCAAAATTAACACATTAAAACATTAAAAAAGCAGATAGTATTAAATAGGTCCAATACGGAAAAAATTTCGATTTGTGATGGTCCAAAACGAGAAAAGGCGGAAACATTTTGTTGTTATCCTAACATTAAAACGAAGTAAAAATCTCAGATTTATGCCAAAACCATGGCGTTAGAAAAACCGAATGACGCTTTTTTTTAAGTATGACTTCCATCACATCAGATCCGGTAACAACAAGTTTGAAGAAAAAGTTTACGAAGAAGTTCTGCCTTCTTCATCTTACATATAATAAGTCTTATAAGACTTTTGATCCTCCATATATGCACCATATGTAGGTTTTCGTATATTACACAGGGAAATTTTAATTGCAAATCTTACTTCGTGCTACATTAATATGTAGCGCAAAGTCTTTGTTGCCAAGACTCCTTATTTCTATTTTTCAAATTGGGTTTAGTTAACAAAATGTTATATTACTATTTTCCTATAAAAAACTATTTTTCATGTGGATCATAACGATTTCTTGCTATTGCAGAACTTTTGTTATAAAACGTTTTTTTTTCCAAGTTCTGTGTGGTTCTTCTTCGTTCTGATAATAAGAAGGATTCGCTATTGCTAAATATCCAGAATTTCATACTTTGAACACTTTTAATTTATTATTATAACTGATTGTGAAAACATTATAATTCTTTCAAAACGTTCTTATGAAAGGTTAGATAGTTTATTGGTCATAGGTGATCGTTTGGTTGCCAACACATAAAGAGAAAATTTCAATTTGCTGAACTAACAATCCGCTAATAATAGAGATGAAATTATTTTTTTAACACATGTTATTAATTAATCATTGAGGGTTTTCTGAGCCATAAAAATTACGAGATTTCTGAAATAGAGAGAGCAGACTTTAAAATTAACGATGGTTAAGGTTAAGGATTTTTTTTTAATAAAGACAACTTATAATTTGTATAATTACTAACCCGTATCTATTTAGTCAA